CTATTGATTTATATCGAAACTCATTTCCGAAGTTATAGGTAAGAGACCACATGACTAATTGAGAGTTCAACCATGTAGGGGAACGTGAAACATATAATTATCGATGACACCGAATTATTGTCACATACACAAACACACCCCAGTGCCAAGAATATGTAGACCATTAAAGATCTAACATACTGGTGCTCTATGTAAGATTCAAAGACCTTGAATCTCATCCAATTGGAAGTCATATTTGAAAACCCCCAATGAGTCTCATAAACTCTCAGCTAGATAGTTACGTTTATTATTATTATTATTATTATTATTATTATTATTATTATTATTATTATTATTATTATTATTATTATTATTTAAAACAATTAGTCCCTTTGATAAATTTCGATAATGCAATGAGAAGACGTAGTTTATCAGAATTATGTGATATATTTGCGCAATACATTTCGAACAATCTGATCACACATATACTTGTTAAGAACATTTATATATGAAAAATTAAAAGGTCAACTAGACAGGTTAAGGGTAAGTCATAACAAAGGAAAAATATTAAAGTACACAAAATCAAATGTGATTACCACTCTTGATAGTAAATCAGTACTACCAGGGTAGGTTAAGTGTAAGTACAAATTGTTTTTGAACACATAAAGGGGGTTTCAATTTCCGTATAGCCAAGGCTTCAATAAACCTTAGTATACGTCCTTGAAGGCTTTTGTACAAGACAACAAATGCTGATTTGATATCAACCTTATGACCCGTCTCAATCAAATGTTTCGCAATGGATGATGATGTCTGTCTATCCTGTGATCTTATTTCACCATTGGAATTCATCTGATTCTGCAACCATTTTGGTATATGTTCACCCACCCTTAATTGCAAATCACGATTGCTCCTCCCTACGTACGTGTTTCCACACATACATGTAAATTTATAGACACAATGGGATGTGACACAATCGTTTTCATGCTGTTTGGGCTTTCGGTAAAACATATACCTTGTCTTTTCGATAATAACAAGTTGGGCTGCATAAAATGTCCGGTTGATAGCTAATTTAAGTCTCTGTTTCAACATGAGACTATTTGTGTCACCTCCCTATGCAAATTATTAAAAGGGTTAGATGAACTTGTTAACCTCAAGTGCAAAATTATATCAGAACGAGTGAAACTGGATTTTTATAAATCTTGCTTATCTAATCACATTTTCCCGAATCAGTTACATAAGAATCTTCGTTCAAGTAAATTACAACCAAATATTCCAAATCTTATTAGACTGACGAAATCGTATATAGACAAATGCCATGATAAGTTGATCAATTTAATTGAACTTCATACTCAAACATTACCTGTATTAACAGAATTGTCTGTACTTTGCCATATCAAATTCATCAATTTTTGTAGTACTGTCATTTTGAAAACAAAAGAAGGGATAAGGAGAAAGCTAGGAAAATCTTGTTGCAATAATAATAATCTCACTTCATTCCCAATCAATCCTGATAAAAATGTCACTAATTTGTCCTCCAGTGTATTGTCTGTTCATGAAAAGGAGGCATTGTCCTTGGGTTTAAAATTTTCTGTTCCTATGACACAAATCTCTGAATTGACAGTCAATGCCCAATTTGAAAACATCTATGATCAATTGAGTACTTTAACCCCTTCATCCTTAGAGAATCAAAGTTGGTTTAAAGCCAAACTAGTGGATATAGCGCATCATTTTCATTCTTCTGGACCAAAGCAGAGAAGCATATTAACTTCTCAGCACTTCAAATCATTAAAAGAATTGCGAAATAATGCCGATATTATTATACTTAAACCCGATAAAGGATCTGGTGTTGTTATTATGAATAAGTCAGATTACAAAAATAAAATGGAACCCATTCTCAGTGATAAAAGCAAATTTTTGGCTGATGTTGACTTTGATGGATTACGTAAATTAGAAAAGAAAGTGAACTCGAATCTTGGAAAATTGTTAAACATGAATGCTATTAACAAAGATGAGTTTAATTTATTAAAACCTATGGGATCGGCATATCCTAATTTATATGGATTACCGAAAATTCATAAGCCTAATACCCCCCTACGTCCAATTCTATCTATGTGTCGGTCACCTACACACAACCTGGCAAAATGGCTTACAAAATTATTAAACCCTATCAGAAATCAATATTGTAAGTATTCTTTGACTGACTCATTCGAATTAATTAATTACTTAAAGGATATAAATATAAAGACAAAGACAATGTGCTCCTTTGATGTAAACACTTTATTTACAAATGTACCTCTTAGGAAAACCATTGATATTTTGTGTGACTTTATTTCTTCGAATAACCTTCCACTGCCTTTTCCTGTTAAAACTCTTAAAGATTTATTATTATTATGTACAGATAATGTAAAATTCACATTTGAAGGTGAACACTTCAGACAAATAGATGGTGTAGCTATGGGCAGCCCTCTAGGACCATTGCTGGCTGATGTGTTCATGGGATATGTAGAAAATTTAGTTGGAGACTCAATTCGAAAGATGGGTCTGTATAAACGATATGTAGATTACATCATAATCATAGGTGATAAAATTGAAGACATAAGCTGCTTGTTAGAAGAATTTAATAGTAGTCAAAAGCACATTTCTCTTACATGTGAAGAAGAGAAGAACAACCAACTTCCTTTGCTTGACATCCTGATTACTAGGAAAGATGATGGCTCCATCAAACGTGCTACATATAGAAAACCAACATGGACAGGACAATATCTCAATTTTCATAGTCACTGCCCTATTCATTATAAACGCGGTTTAATAAAGAGCTTATTCAATAGAATCAATCGTATTTGAACTAGTGATACTATTGAAGTAGAGATGAAGCTCTTGACTGATGCGTTAATTAATAATGGTTACCCTTTGAAGTTCATGAATAGCTGGAAGGGTTGCAATATGCCTAAACCTATGACACTTCTGGCACCCAAAAAGCGAGTTTATATTACGGTACTATTCAGAGGTGACACAAATAGTCTCATGTTGAAACAGAGACTTAAATTAGCTATCAACCGGACATTTTATGCAGCCCAACTTGTTATTATCGAAAAGACAAGGTATATGTTTTACCGAAAGCCCAAACAGCATGAAAACGATTGTGTCACATCCCATTGTGTCTATAAATTTACATGTATGTGTGGAAACACGTACGTAGGGAGGAGCAATCGTGATTTGCAATTAAGGGTGGGTGAACATATACCAAAATGGTTGCAGAATCAGATGAATTCCAATGGTGAAATAAGATCACAGGATAGACAGACATCATCATCCATTGCGAAACATTTGATTGAGACGGGTCATAAGGTTGATATCAAATCAGCATTTGTTGTCTTGTACAAAAGCCTTCAAGGACGTATACTAAGGTTTATTGAAGCCTTGGCTATACGGAAATTGAAACCCCCTTTATGTGTTCAAAAACAATTTGTACTTACACTTAACCTACCCTGGTAGTACTGATTTACTATCAAGAGTGGTAATCACATTTGATTTTGTGTACTTTAATATTTTTCCTTTGTTATGACTTACCCTTAACCTGTCTAGTTGACCTTTTAATTTTTCATATATAAATGTTCTTAACAAGTATATGTGTGATCAGATTGTTCGAAATGTATTGCGCAAATATATCACATAATTCTGATAAACTACGTCTTCTCATTGCATTATCGAAATTTATCAAAGGGACTAATTGTTTTAAATAATAATAATAATAATAATAATAATAATAATAATAATAATAATAATAATAATAATAAACGTAACTATCTAGCTGAGAGTTTATGAGACTCATTGGGGGTTTTCAAATATGACTTCCAATTGGATGAGATTCAAGGTCTTTGAATCTTACATAGAGCACCAGTATGTTAGATCTTTAATGGTCTACATATTCTTGGCACTGGGGTGTGTTTGTGTATGTGACAATAATTCGGTGTCATCGATAATTATATGTTTCACGTTCCCCTACATGGTTGAACTCTCAATTAGTCATGTGGTCTCTTACCTATAACTTCGGAAATGAGTTTCGATATAAATCAATAGTGAACACTTACAACTGTTGTTGGCTTGGTCTTTCGTTTCTTAATGTGAGCTTATCAACAATGAAATGAGTGACTTAACTCTTTCTATTTTCATTATTTCGAGGAAACATTTTTCTGAGATTTATTTCATATTTGCAGTTTAATCATCAAAGGAATTGTAGTTTACGAAGAAAAGTACCTAGCAATATCAAAGTTTCTAGATTATGCATAAATGTGTGTTTCCCATCGACTTTTCCGTGTCATAACATCAAGGATTAAGTGTACTTAACTGAAAGTGACATGTCTTGAAACTGTTATGATATTAAAATTTGGAGCAAATTATTTAACAGTGAGTACTTCACTTTTACGTCAGTTGTGATTCATCAAGGTTTGTGTTTCACACCTTCCACGGTGTGAGCAGCCGGGAAGTGATAACTGCCTTCATACCTTTATTAGCACCCGAGGTAATCTTGTTGGCAATCGAGTACCTCCCTCACCTCTTAATAATTCTTCCACCCCCACGAATAACTCTTCTCATTCATCATTATCACCATGCACCACCAATGATAATGATTCGAGTTCACAAAATGTTATCCCTGGTATCCTGAAACCACACTAAACTACATCTTCGAGCCGTTAATGTTCAAATCTTGTGTCAGATAGGACTCTAGAATTATTATTATTATTATTATTATTATTATTATTATTATTATTATTATTATTATTATTATTATTATCATCAGCAGACAACGTCATAAATACCAACTTCCTGTATGGATACAAACTATGGTAAGACATTTGTTCAGTGATTTTTTTATCCAGCTCACTACAGTGTCTGTGATGACGAATATCTAACAACAACAAAAAGAAGAAATAATAATAATAATAAACCACCTAGCAACAGTAATAATAATAATTGTTACTATTGTGATTATCATTATAATAAATAATAAATTCTCTCACCTCCGTTAAGACCACTGACAAGCAATTTAAATGGTTCACGCTGATTTGAACCAGTCAATAGTGTTTTAATAGCATCGAAATCAAACAATGTGCGCATGTAATCGGCATAATCGGAAACACTGCTTATGATGGTTACCTTATCGTGAATAAGATAAAACAAAATGTTTGCTTTCAAAAATAATAGGCATCTAACTGATATTAAAATATATTTATAAATATTAATAGGGGAATGATCAAACCGAACAAATATTCAGTATAGGGGAATCGGTGAAGATTGTAGTATTTTCATAGTTTAAATCATTAACTGATCTTAGTTAAACCACCACTGAAAATCTGGAGGCAGTGGGTGGTCGTTTTGCCCTAGTATGAGACTTCCCAGCAGTGCACATCCTCAAACCTGCATGGTCGTCTAGCTAAGATTAGTTCGTGATGCAGAAAGTATAAAAATTCTATAATCTCAAAAAAAGCCAACAGTGTTGATAATTACCAGGGATTAGCTTATACATACATATCCTGGAGTTTTCGTGAGAAGCCGTGACTAGTGGAGTTTCAACCATGCCGGTTATGAGGCAGTTATCCACCGTAAACAATGGATAAGTGTCGTAAAACTGTGCATTGATTGAAGTTAGACTAGTACACCACTGGACCTTGGTTCAATGGTCTACAGATTATGGGTTATTACGTGGAACTGAGGGTTTTGGGTTCGATTACCGGACACGGGGTCATGAATGTATGCGGGTACTAGGATTTTCTAGCATTCAATGGTGGTACAGGTCAGTTCGTGATTTAAGCTATGATAAATAAATTTATGAAAACTGTTAAAGGAAAATTGCATTTTTTTCAAAACCCCTAGCAAACATTTAATGCATTCTAACGTTAAATATAAATTTTAGCGAGTTGAGTATACCGAGCTGGTGAAAAACCCATTATTTCTTCCAAACGCCACAAGTATACCGTCTACATGAACACTAGCTAGCAAAAAAATACTACAACATAGTTTTGCATGTAGACAATAAAAGGATGGGAATCCAAATATGATAACGTCGAAATATTGAACAGATGGAATATAAATAAAGTCAGATTTCCAAGGGTCTAACACTTTAATTGCGCACCAATTAATAGCAATACATCGAGATTGACCCGATCTATCAATTAGTAAGAAAAAGGATAAACAACTTCAAGGTCAAAGGTCAGGTTAAGGGTGAAAGCGACCAACATAAGCATGTAAACGACGGCTATACAATAGAGACAAGAGCCAACCAAGTTCTCCTAGGTAAACAGAACAAACTGTAAGCCAGTTGTGAATAAATCCTAATGGTTAACTACTCTTTTAGAATATTTGTTGATGGTTTTGTCTAAAAGAAACATTGAAACCTTCACGACTGAACCATCTAGCTCAGGGAATATAACACCTACAAACTATTTCTAGGCTTAGTTTTTGTTTTCACTTAACCTATTTAACAAGTGCATGTTTACGTTTTATTCAGCTTTTGTGTAGGAGTTAGTGTTACTCCATAGTTGATTGGTATCCAATTAGCTAAAGAACAGAACTAGAACCTCCGATTTAATTGGTTGGAAGTTGGAACCCGTTAACTAAAATGTAGTCCTCCAATCCATTGAATAGTATATACAAATTCCAGGTTTCATTCATATATCTTCCGCTTGCTTACTAAGTTGGAGCATTAAGGAGTTCAGAGATAAATGAACTGACAGAATAACTACTGGCGGCCTGCTTGAATATCTGGGCTACCTGTTCCTCTGATCTACATATTTCATCAAGTTATCTGTTTTGTTGTTTGTTTTAGTTCATCATTATGTCCATTGTGCACACAATCTATTCAGGCGCGTTTATGAAAAGTTTACAACCTTTCGCTATGTGATACAAAAAGGTACAATCATCGACATCATGGTGGCTGGCAATATGCATTGAAACGAACGAACATTAATCAAATGTGGATTACCGAACTCCTAACATCTAACCGGTCATCATTCAAAATTTATCGTCACAATAGATCAAGGTATAAGAAAAGAAAACTTTTTGAAATACTTTATGCTGAGAATTCTATGTTGTACCAAAAATATAATGTTGAATAAAGCTTCTAATAATATAATAATAATAATAACTAAACGTCTGTTAATAAAAACAAAATTGAATGTTATTGTAATTCAAATTTGAAATATTTATAATGATATGAATAGGTCTCATTAAAAAACGCGTATAGAATAATAGTGAAATTGAATCAAACATGACTATATCAACTAAATCAACTAGCAGGAATAAGACAGGAGTCTAACAACACGTTGAAGCCAAATTTACCAAAAAGTAGTTATGGTAGCAGTCGATCAAAACAAACCGACTACACAAAAATGTCCGAAACATAGCATTGTCTACTATGAAACAATTAACTACTTACTATGGGAGTTTGACCATTGGATAAAGTATATTTCGTTGAACCAATACAGTCCAACTGAATATTTAATGGTTCTTTAACAGTTTTATAAGAAGTCAATTTTTCACTTTGTGCAAAAATAGCATCTGTTAATTTCTCCGGTGCTGGTCCACCATTCCCACAATTGTACTTAATACCAAAGTCTGCATTTAGTCCACCAGGATTATGACTAGCTGTTAGAAGAATACCACCATCCAATTGATGTTTACGAATTATGAATGATGCAGCTGGAGTTGACAGGATTCCATTTTGACCAACAAACAATTCAGATACCTAAGAAAAGAGTGTGAAATAAACTATGCATTATCTATTAGTTATGAGTCTAAGCGGTTACTCAATTTAAAAGTGAACATATAAAACTAGTGAATTTAGAGCCAAGGCTAAACTAGTAGGTTCATCATGAGCAGACAGAATATGATTGATATTAGAATTCGAAATAATCAGAGATAAATTCACTTATTTAATTCCATTTATCAAAAATTATAATAACTTAGCAGAAAAGTCTACGGTAACCTTGCTAAAAGGTATTCATTTCTTCAAAGTCATAAATACTTAATCCCATATATGTAGTGCCATCCAACAATAGAACTTAATCACTTTACGGTGATAAATTTGAAGCAATAAGACATATGATAATGATTTCTAGATTAAACGAAAGCTTAGAAATAGGAGAATATAAAAATACAACAACACAAGCGTCCACTAATTATACAATAAAAAAAGCATAAGTAATGATCTTTGTATGATGGTCTAACGAGTTAAACTTCCTTACTATTTGTCCTATCATATCACAAAGACAGACCTAAGAAAATCACTGACAACTAGGAAGCCCTGTACAACCGTCTCACCTTAGTACAGAACTCCACAGTAGTAGTGTGCATTCACAATCCCACTAGGGATCGATCCCAAAGAAACTTGAACATTCGAATTAGTGGGTAGTTGTTCAATGGGAAAACTTCAATTTCGATCAACAGCATGGACTATCAATACAGTTGTTGGCACCAGTTTCATTCCAGTCGTGTCTGAACTCCACCAGTCACGGCTTCTTCCTGAGACTTCAGAAACATCTCGAAGTCACTAGTAGTCCTAATAGGTGAGCATCTGTCGCAAGACTCGAAGGTACTGGGTTCGATCCCTGATGGGTTTGTAAATGCCTGGTATTGTGAATGTGGAACCCCGTAATGGGAGGAAGGAGCTTTCCAGTGCCCATCGGATTATTAATAGTATCACAAAAGAGATCAGTCTGTTAAAATAGACTAACATCATCAGCATAGAACCTGGTGCAAACGTGCATCGACCCAAGTTTCCACACTTAATTAGCACGAGACAGATAATTCAACCTGGAAATTAAGCCAAACCACACGAAATTTTAATAAACAAAAAAAATTTTATTTTTAAAAATGGAAACACACCCCATTAGCTAAACATATTGGGATAATGATACTTTGTAATGATTCTCGTACAAAATACCGACCGTCTCCGCCTAAAAGAAGTCGAACTGGTTGAGATTTGTTCAACAATTGACCAACAGCTGCATTTAAAATAGATTGTATGAAGTTCTCAGTGTACCCATGTTCCATAAATGTTTTTGTTGGCTTACGTAAACCACTTGTACCTGGTTTCTGGCCAGGAAACGATTTGGTTGGCTTTATATCGATTGTCAACATTTGTGACATCTATAAATGGTTAAAAAAAGGGAAAGTATCAGTAAAGCTATTGGAAGTAACCTAGTTGAGCGTGCACCTATCTTGGAAGTCTCGTCAGACCTAGTGGGTTGGTATTTGATGAAATCCAGACAAGAACTCAATTGTTTTTGGTCAACTGGCGTTACTTGTAGAACAAATGGGATATAAATATGTCAACTAAGTGACGAGTTTGCTAAGCTGAAGTGCACGACGCTCAAATGTATATCTGTGAAACGAATTGATTTATTGATTTGAACACATAAACATTGGTACAATGAGCACCACGCAAGTCACTTGACTTGTATGTGAGCTATGATATTGCCCGAGTGCCCGAACCGAAGCAGGCTGTTTTTTTAGGGAGGCATACTCGGAGACTTCGACCTAAAGAGCACATATTCACCACTAAGGAGGAAGTTACAACCACTTTTTATGAAGTAAGTAAAAGAAGGTTACAGCAGGATCGCCACTGGCTTCTATTCTGAGCCATATCTGATAACGTCTCTAGCCACTGTGTTGCACCATCTCTCAGACCCAAACAAGAGAGTCGAGAAGGACCAACAGAAGCCAGACCATTACAGCTTTCTTTCAAACCACGACACCATGTCATACACTGACCACCTCTCCGCTTTTTCCAACCAGTCCCAGCGTCGGCAAATAATGCACGACGTGGAATTCTCTGGGACGACATTCGTAGAACATATCCAAGCCACTGAAGTCGGTGTTTCAAGATGGTGACACCAATTGCATTATCATCTCTGTGCCCGAAACACACGATGCCGAACCTCTTCATTACTAACATGGTGTTGCCACTGGATGCCAGCAATTCTTCAGAGACAACGATGATCAAACACAGAGTCGTCTAACATCCTCAACTCGGAGAGGACAGGTTTCACAAGCATAGAGCAGAACTGCTCTCACCGACGCGTTGTAGATCCGAACTTTTACAGCCAGACTTACATCACGAAGGAGCCAAAGATGACCCAGATTGGCATAAGCCGCTCTGGCTTTCATTATACGTGCATTGATCTCATCACTCACGCCACCACCAGCACTTATACAGCTACCTAGATACACGAACTTCTCGACTACTTCTATCTGCTTACCATCCAGAGTGAATACAGGATTAGAATCCTGTCAGTCTTGTAGAAGTACTTTGCACTTCAAAGGTGCAAAGCACATACCATACCTACGGACACTGATTGCCAACTGATTAAGTGAGGATTGAATGGCTTGGGCATTATCGCACAGTAAGACAATATCGTCCGCATACTCAAGGTCGAGAAGTCTTTCTCCAGGCAACAGATCCAAACCGCCATTACTTACATTCATCAGAGCTGTTTCCAGAATGTCATCGATGGCAAAGTTGAGGAGGGATGGTGAGGTTGGGCAACCCTGCCTAACCCCACTACTCGAATGGAACAATGGAGAAAGGTGGTTGTATGACCTCACTCTGCCTGAGGTGTTTGTATATAGAGCCTTTAGGATAATAATAAACTTCTCAGGCACACCCTTCTTCAATATACAATCCCAGATAACAGTCCTGTCCAAAGATTCGAAGGCAGCCCTGATGTCAAGAAACACTACGATTGTTGGTCTTTGATAAGTATGACGGTGTTCTAACATTTGGTGGAGGGTGAAGATATAATCAATACATCCTCGACCAGAACGAAAACCAGACTGCTCCTCGTGAGTCAATCTTTCTCGAGTTTTGAACAACCTACGAAGTATAACAGAAGCCAATAGCTTGGACGCAATCAGGAGTAGATTTATCCCCCCATAGTTGTTACAGAAACAACGAGAACCCTTTTTAAAGATAGGCACAACTACCAATTCATTCCATGACATTGGTACACTCCCTAGCTCCCAGACCTTTGTAAACAACGTCGTCAGTTCCTTAGTCAGAAAGTCGGATGAGTTGGAAGAGCTTCCGGCAGTTACCAGATGCAGCTGCTGCTTCCAGCTCATTAGCACGCTCCTACCACCAGGCTTCTCGGTCCTTACGCAAGCTCTGCCCGATTTCATTATGTAACATCCTTCGTTTGTAGTCAAACTCACGGTCACCCGGAGTAGACCGACGGGCTTCAATGAGTTGTAAGGAACCAGAAGAAACCCAGTGCTTATAAGCGGGACGTTTTGCGAAGCCGCAAGCGGCTTTACTTGCCATGTTCATGGTGTCATGAAGTTGCAACCAATGCTCATCTATGCTTTTCCGTGGAGTGGTAGCCAGGCTAGAAGCTAGCTCGGTTCGATACTTACTAGCAACAGGAGTTGCAACCAACTTGCTGACATCAATCCGTCGGTGGTGGTCACTTCGTTGGCTACTGAAAAGTAAGGTAAGATTGGCGCAGACCAGGGCATGATCAGAGTTCAGATAGATACTCCAAAAGGAGCGGCAGTCTTGTACACAATCACGTCAGCGGTAGCTGATCGCGATGTGATCAATCTGAGTCCAGGCTTGAGATGCAGAGGGAGGATGCCAAGTGGCACATCGGCGATGACTGTGCCGGAAGTTAGTGCTAGCCAGAAACAGGTTTTGTTCTGTGCACAGTTGCAGGAGACGGTCCCCGTTATCTGACATGCGACCAACAAGTCCCCATCGGCCACCTAAACGACTCTCTTATGTGCCTAGACGCCCGACCCGAGCATTCAAGTCCCCGGCTAGTACTACAATATCTGTCGAACGCACTTTCTGCAGAAGAACAGATAACTGGTGGTAGAATTCATCCTTGATTGCATCCGGGCTGCAATCTGTCGATGCATATGTGGAGATGACGAAGAGACATCGTTTCTCCCACCGATTTCTTCTCACTTTGATGGACCTTTCTATTCTAACAGCACATAACCGACTGTTAATGGGGGTCCAATCTATTAGTGCTGCCTCAGCTCTAGCGCTTAGTGTGACACCAACGCCAGCAAGACCAGACGAAGATGCCACAGGGTCCCCGGATAAACGCACGTAAAACAAGCCTTTTGAATCAACAGATGGAGAGCGAATTTGTAGTACTTCACCAGAGTCTTGAATACGGGTCTCGGATAGAAAAAAGACGTCGATATTAAGACGTTCCAAAGACATAGCCAGCACTATCTGTTGTCCGACCTGCATAAGTGTGCGAACGTTGAAGGCAGCAGCCAGTTTGAATGGTGCACGTGGTTTCAGAAAAACAGCTTCAGTATTCGTATTCGTTGGTAGCATACAATTTTCAACCGGACAGTGACTCGAGAACTTTTAGATAGAACAGAATTTCCACCATAGGCGAGCTTCTGTATAAGTCGAAAAGTAAGGATAGACAGAGTGCGAATAAATGACGTAGTAAATAATAATAATAATGTGAATCGTTTGATTATTAATCGAAGCAAGGAAAGTATTTTCCATAATTATCGACAGTTCATCATATTTGTGTGAGTGCTGTGATACTGCCCGGGTGCCCAGACCGAAGCAGGTGGTTTTCTTAGGAGGCCACACCCCGACCCTTTGATCTAAAGGTCTGATCCACAAGGCAGTGGAGCATCGCGAGGAGATGCAGTCCCATGGTAGCCGGTGACCAACAATTGGTTCATGCGCCATTTGTTCCCCCAGGATACTGGAGCCCATGTCCACCATTGGTTTGGGATCCGGTTAAAGCGCCGGACATTCGCTTTTCGTCCTCTCATTTCCGTAAACAACACCCCTGGTGTGAGAAGGCAGTGAGTAGGACTTCCCTGGCAGAGGCTGTGTACGCTTGGCCTTGTGAGAGCATTTCGAGAGTGAGGGCGGTTCCACCACACTCTCGGCCATACCATGGCAATAGAGAACATAACAATGACCACTTCTCAGTGATCAGTTAACGTTCATATCTCAATCGCTGCCTGAATAGCAGAGTATTGACGTTTCACATTATAGAACTTGATCTCGTCGGGTTCGAGCTTCACAAGGAGTATTAGTTGCCACAGATTTGTAGATGGGACTTATGGATAAGAGACAACTAGTACGAACCACTGAACCGCCTAAATTCTACACATAACGTGAACGATACCCAGTCACGTAGACTATTGCTAGTGACCGGCACACATAGCGTCTTGATAGATAGAATTCTATCAGCACAAGACAAGCTTAACGGTTGTCCAGCGATTAATGCAGAACTCAACCACAACACATTTTGGTTTTTATCAACCAGAGTTAGTATCAATAGCCCCACACACTTAGAATATAACTCAAAGTTAACTATATTCTATACATGGTAAATGGGTGAATAAAAAAATACATATTTCACAATAACAGAACTCAATGAATGAATCAAACAGTCATACCACATGACAAGAATAGATTTGATTCACAATCAATAATATAAATAAAAAAGAACCCGACGAAAACTCACAAAACAAACAGAGAGTGAGATAAAAAAATCAAAACAAAAGATTAGCGTGGCATATGATTTATGCATAGATTTATTAAACATGAATAGATTTCCCTTGTTTTTCACAATGTACAACAAAAAATTGAACGATTTCTCGCTCGCGCGTTTGCTCGTTTGTTTATTTCTTTGGTAATGGTTTACAAGAACCAATATTAGCCAACGAATCTGCTTCTTCATTACCGTGTACACCTTGATGACCACGAACATGGTACTGAATTAGAATAGAGAAAAAACGAATTGGGAAACAAAGGGAGAAACAATGAAATAACAGGAAATATTTGGGGTGCGTACTAGACATAAAGTGGGTAGAAGTTTTCTAGTCACACACACATACTTGCTCATTCCAATTCCCCATAAATTTATCATAGAGGACAGTTCGATGAACAAGCGAAGTTTAACATCGCGAAAATAAATTGAAACAGAATATCGGTCGGTATAGTGAAATGCAATGGTGTAATATGACCGAGTATTGATTACTAAAAACACAGAATTGTTGACTAAAACCCTAAAAAGAGTTGATATAAGAAGACAAGATCATTACCCTGGAAGAATAAGCTTTTTCTATCTAAAATGAAAACTGTTCTTGACTGATAACCT